GGATGTGCACGCAAAGTATGGCTTTTATGCTGAAGCCAGATGAAAGGTGAAGAAACACTAATTACCTTTTTCAAGAATAAACAAAAAACAACTTTACGACATGCGTTTCGCTTCCAGTGAACTCTCTTGCAACTTCTGTGTCGCTCTCTGTGTCTCTCTCTCTCTCTCTACCATTCGTCATCTCTCGTTGTTCCAGCAAGAAGCCAAAGTTCAGTTTTCCTTGTTTTTCCCATGAAGTTGAATAATTTTGAATTTTTGTTATTGTTAGAACGAGAATGATCTCTGCACTCGTTGTGCTCTCTCCGCTCCGCTTCGCTTCTCTTCTCATCTCTCCTCTTTTGCCATGCTCTCTGCGCGGAACTCATTAGGCAGTGTAAGAGAAAGCGAGAGAGCGAGAGCTGAAGTTTTGTTTTTGCTGTTGCTTTTTATGGGCGGACATAGAAACACCGTTATGGCCCCAACGAGGCGCAGCCAGGCGGGAAATTCATAAGCCATATACGGTGGAGCACCTCACCCAACCGCCCTTCCGCCAGCAGTGTTTTTTTCTCTCTTCTTTTCTCTTTTCATTGGAATACCCTTTGATTCGTCCGAAGGTATTTTATAACCATTGGATGTGGCAACGATCGGTCAGGTCAGGGTATCAAACCTTTCGGTGAATAGAGGCTTTTTTTTGTGCTCTCGCGTTTTTCAGCATACAATTTGAAAGCGGAAAAGGAAAAGATGACGTAGCAGAACGAATAACGGGCTCAAAGACTGAAAGAGTTCATTGAGCTGTCTCTTCACAGATGATTTCCTGGCTCTCTGGCAATCCTTCTAATTACCCACAATTAACATTTTCCCTCCACTCACCTGCATGGTATGAAACGATCCAGCGACGTGGGTGTTGTAGACGATTCCAAATTATCAAATAGATTACGCGCCACCGGACTGCAGTGCTTCAGGATGCGCTTCTCATATTCCGGACTAAACATCTTAACGCCTCAGATCTCTGTAGGATCTCCTCCACGTGTCGTCTTGTGTTCGGTGGGGGGTGGTGGTAGGGGTTTCTTTATTTTTGTGTGCAAACAACCAAAAACGTAACGCAGAAAAGCAACAAAAGCAATTCTCCAGATAGCAGGATCGATTGGTAACAAAATAAATTTCTGGCTTGAGATCCACGAATTAATGATACAAAATATATGTAAAGATGGAAGGAAGCTGCAAGAGAGAACAAAAGATAATTAATTTGAATAGTTCTTTTGTAGCTTTCGAATTTGAATAAAATTGTAATTTATTTTTGTTGGTGTTTGGCTCGACGACAGTTTGGGCCTGTTGTGGGCCATTAATCAACGTCTTGTGGTCTGTCTGCTTGCCAGCCGCGATTCTTTTTTAGGCATGGATAATCCAGTCAGGCAAAAGCAATTGCCTTTCTATTTTCTTGTATTTTCTTGTATTTTGTGTTCACATCATGGGGGCGTATCAATCACGGACACAACACAACACAACACGACACAGCCCAAAGCCAGAAACCCCCAACCAAAAATCTATCGAACACAGTGGAGAGTTCTTCTGTTGGCTGTCATGTATTGTTGGATGGATCTCCTCTGTAGTGCGTTATGCATACGAAAGAAGAGGCTTTCGACCCTTTTTTCGGCCCGCTAATTAGATCCGCCCCATCATATCACGAAGCCAATCCCCTCCCATTCCCATTCCCATTCCATGTGATGGTGGTCAATGGCACGCGGCCACTATGGGCTGCATCTATCTGGCATTTGGCGTGTCTAGACCTAATTAATTTATGGGCGTTAAGTGTTGCTTGTTTGCGGCATGGGATCGCCGACACAGGGCGGGGGGTGGTGGGTTGCTTTCTGTTTGGGTGAAACTTACTCAGCTTAAAAACTTCCGCATTGGGGTTTTTCACTCTTTCTCCTGTTTTTCTCTACTTCACTTTGTAGTTGATTATTTTATACAGTTTTCTTCGTTCTTCGGCTTCCCTATGGTCGTTGTTGGTTCATAGAAAATATATATGACTATTTGGAGGGTAGACGTATGACGTGACTGTTTCGGGTGAGCAACTATCTAATACTGATTTGAAAATCTAGACACAGTCTACTTGAAGCAGGGAACAAATGACTAAGCCGGGGTTTCAATTACAGCAATTTCTTGAGTTTGAGTTTTCGTTTCCCGTCGAAAAGGGGCAGATAAGGTTATTGATTCGCAGGTACAACCACAACCACCGGGAACCCACCCTACGCCGTGGCAGGTACGCAGCACCAGTCTCACCCAGAAGACACACAACTGATAAAGCCGGGTACACATTTTGTGACTCAAGTCTGCAAGCATGCACGAACATGTCGCACCCACGGGACCCCCACTGATAAGAAATTGGGTGCCGCCGCCGCTTCGCTGGAAGGGCTGAGCTTTAACTTGAAAAGGCTAGGGGCAAGCGTGTGAAATTTCATGATTAGTAGATACCGTTAGCAAGCTCTCTTGGGAGTTGATCGAGTGTCAAAAGTCATCAAACTAAAAAAAATCACCTACCCGCATGGGACTGCTCTTGCTTACGCCACGTTACCACTACTCTCACCAGCACGCACTCTGCACTCTCCTCATTTAGGGTTCAATGCGACACGCACACACACACACACACACACATAACGACACTCTCTTTGCACTCTCTGGCTCTCTAGTACTAGACAAATGTTTTCTTTCTCCATCGATCAAGGACAATGAACCTTGGGTCTCTCTTTCTTGCAGCCATAATCAAACGATACCAAAGCAACGGCACTCTCCTCATGTTTGTACTATTTTTAGTCCGCGACTTGGAAAAGATTCATCAATAATCGAGAGCTGCTGTGGCTGCTGCTGCTGTTGTTTATGACACACACATGCATCCATATGTATGTATGCATGTATGCAAGTTTGTGTGTGTGCATGTACAAATACAGAAGGTCAATACACAAGTCGACAAGAGTGAGGGTAGAGCGGGTAGAGATATAATTCTTCAAAAGTGGAGCTCTGTGGGAGCCAGAAGCCGACTATAAATATCGTACAAAAGGCGGTGGGAATGCGGTATACCTCCATATCCGTTATGCGGTTGGTTCTTGTTCTTTTTACACCTTATCAGCAGCAGCAGCAAAGGCATTGCCATGTGCAGAGTGTGATAAGAAAGAGGGCCACAGACAACAGCAGGGCAGTGCATGGCGGTGGCCGTCATCCCTAACCCAAAGAGAGAGAGAGAGAGCGAGAGAGATGGAAAGCAAGGCAGGAGTCAAGTTATAACTGATTTTAAGGAAAGGCAGTACACAAGTAGCGGCCTCCTTTTATAGTATTTTTGACACAAAAAGAGCAAGCAGTGCGGGACTGCCTTACCATTATTCGTATATGGCACAGCAGGAGCTGAGAGAGTCCAGATCGCGAGAGGAAGAGGGTGTGTGGTGTGTGTTTGTGTGGTGGTGAGAAACAAATAATCGATGGCTTTGCGCCCCCAAAAATGCATGACCAATAGCAAATTATGTCAAGGACATCAATTACACACACACACACAGTGAGGGTGGGAAGAACACACACTAACTTTGACACACGCAAGGTCTAAATGCAAATGCTTTGGCTAAATATTGAAACTAACAATTTGCAGCAATTGCTAGTAATACTACTACTTTTTGTTGCTTTTCCTATTGTGCATGTCATGTACAAACGCACTCGGCGGCACTAACACTCACGCAAGAGAGCGTGGAGGTTACAGGCAAACAGATAGATAGAGAGAGAGAGAGAGCGTGGTAACGGCGGCGGCTGCGACAACTGCGACCCGCCATGCATGCTTGCCCGCTCGCACACAATGTAGTGGTACAGCTAGGGTAATAGTGCAGGCCATAAAGAGAGGAAAACACAGTTACCCATGTGCCAGGCCTAACTGTGAACTGTGTTTAGTTCTCTCGTTCTCTCTCTCACTCACTAAATGCACAAATCTTCACTTTTTTTGAACGTTCTTTAGTTTTATCACACACCAAACAAACACACACTATTTTCCAATAACTTTACGCGGCAAACACACCAAAAACGGTTAAGTTTGATTTCCAGTCGCCCAGAGCCAGCTTGCTGCTGCACTTAGAATCGAAACACCGAAGTTCTTCTAGCGTTTGTATGCTTTGATGCTGTTCCGCAATGCCGGCTATTCTAATCACTATTGTAAAAAAAACCCCTATCTTATTGTTACGACGACAAGGCACTTCACGACTTACAGTTTATTTAGCTTTGCTGGTTTTGCTATGCATCTGCGGCAAGGTGCGCGTTTTAACAAAATTATGTTATTTTACGCAAGCTGGGGATGCAGTCAGTGTGACCGCTGATCTATTAATGAAATATACCGTGTGACCCTCACGAATATACCAAAATATACATTCTCATTTTGAAAAAATACCGACGACAATCATGTTCCTCAATTTTGTTATTCTATTTCGTATTACAAACTAACTAAGATCCTCATCACTAAAACTATAATTGTATCCGATTGACGAATCGATTTTCTACCCGGCTGGATATCCTAAGAGCTCTCTTTATTATATTGCTATTAATAAAAGGTTTACACAAAGAAGGTACTAGAAAATGTAATTTTTTACATGGTAACTACACAATTGCTACATTGACCAACATATTCTTTTATAATGAAACTGGTCCACAAAGGGTTAATGAACGAAACTATATTCGATATTGATGTTCGGCTATTGTGAGCTAGTTCGGACCGTAGAACAAATCATCAGCTTTTTTTCCGAAAACCAAACATTTTGTAGGCCATCCAATAAAAGGAAGTCATGAAAACTAACCAATCTTGTAGTGAATTGATTGATACATCGATTAAAAAGATAGTTTTAGCGCTGAGAATCCTAAATAGCTAGTAATATTAAATAAATATCCAAATCGAGGAAAATGATTTAAGATTAGATAATTTGAACGGTATATTTTGGAAATGAGATGGTATATTTTGGTATATTTGTGAGGGTTGAGCGGTAATTTGTTCGATGAATCCGCGGTCACACAGCTGGGCAGGCGAAAGTGATTAAGAACCGGCAATTTTTTCAAAAATAGCAAACATTAACTATATTCGAAAAGATGGTTCTACCTTTACTGCAGCGCTCCACGCTTCGCGGCGTGCAACAGTTGACCAAGCCATGGGCCTCGACTGCCTTCAGCCTGAGAATGGTAAGGATCGTGCACAGCCCATCCGCTTATGTAACGTTGCTGGCCAAAACCATGTCTATTAGCCATTGTGGGCACCGGTCGAGAGTGTTCTGAAATGATAAGTGGAAATCTGTCCGCTTGCTGGCGTTTCGTAATCACCTATTTATGTGGGCGGCTCTGGTACAATGGATGTCACTGCCTCCAGCCCCCTGGGACAGCTAAAGAAGTTTGTCCGAAAACAGTTTCCCAACTGGAAACATTCTGCCACTTGTGGATTGCAAATAATTGTGGCGGTAGATCAGTTTCACTTTGATCCAATTGGTGGAAGGCATTAAATCCGACACCTTGTGGATTCTGTTCACTTGGACTCCAATTGGCATATTGATTTTACTCAGAGAAAATATTGTTCGCTCGTTTCACTCTTTCGCACCTCAAAATGAAAATGAAAGAGCAGCAACAACAACAGACAGTGAAACGAGTTGTAAGCGAGAGAACAAATTTAGCAACGAAATTCGCTGATCTGACAATTCTAGTTTCGGCAATTCAAGACATTGTGTAAACCGGTTAATTGTATATTGAAAAGCAGTGCAGTGCCGACACAAGCCATACCCTCACTGTGTCATGCGATAATCCTGGTAACTGTAAATGATAATGTAGGAGCACTTGAGCATAGATAGATTCCACACACACACACACACGCAAACATATACATATATTTAAGTGTGTGTGGACTCAGCTGATTAGCAAAGCACCCCATGCCGGGCAGAGTCTTCACACGCCGCCAACACCCAGCACCCACCGCCCTTCCAATCCATGGTCGCGCACTGCTTGAGAGTGTTTGCTCGCTCGCTCGCTCTGTCTGGAATTTCGCGCTCCGACAAGGTTTTATGGTCCCGTCACCTTATCTGAGCACAGTACCAGCAGCAGCCGCAGCAATCACAGCCATTTATAATCCGAGTGCTCGCCATTTGATTCAATCAACTTATCTCCTTTGAAATGGTCAGAGCAACAGCCCGCATTCATCCACTGTCAATTGACGTCAGCGAAAACTTACACTAACTGTTCTTTTGCACTGCTTGCAGGCCTCCCAGGAGTTCCGCGTGGAAAGCGACACGTTCGGTGAGCTCAAGGTGCCCGCGGACAAGTATTATGGCGCCCAGACGATGCGCTCTCAGATCAACTTTCCCATTGGCGGAAAGACAGAGCGTATGCCCGTAGGTTTTTCCACAGATTTTTGCCCAATAAATATTCATCTCTCTCTCTCTCTCTCTGTCGTACAGAAACCTGTGGTGCAGGCCATGGGCATCCTCAAGAAGGCCGCTGCCGAAGTGAACAAGGAATTCGGTCTGGACAGTAAGGTGAGCGAGGCCATCTCGCAGGCCGCCGATGATGTGATCTCGGGCAAGCTGTACGACGATCATTTTCCCCTTGTCATCTGGCAAACAGGCTCCGGCACCCAGAGCAACATGAATGTCAATGAGGTGAGTCGCGGGGCTAGCAATTGCCATAAACAATTCATAAAACCTTCTCGCCGGCGCAGGTGATCAGCAATCGTGCCATTGAGCTGCTCGGCGGCAAGCTTGGATCGAAGACGCCCGTGCATCCCAATGATCATGTGAACAAGTCACAGAGCTCCAACGACACCTTCCCCACTGCCATTCACATTTCGGTGGCCCTGGAGCTGAACAACAACCTGAAGCCGGCCATCAAGACGCTGCACGATGCGCTGGCCGCCAAGTCGAAGGAGTTCAAGGACATCATCAAGATCGGCCGCACCCACACCATGGACGCGGTGCCATTGACGCTCGGGCAGGAGTTCAGCGGCTATGCCCAGCAGCTGGCCTACGCCCAGGAGCGCATCGATGCCTGCCTGCCGCGTGTCTATGAACTGGCCCTGGGCGGCACAGCCGTCGGCACTGGCCTCAACACCCGCAAGGGATTCGCCGAGAAGTGCGCCGCCAAGATCGCCCAGCTGACCAGCCTGCCCTTCGTGACGGCGCCCAACAAATTCGAGGCTCTGGCCGCCCGCGACGCCATGGTGGAGGTGCACGGTGTACTCAACACGATTGCCGTCAGCCTCATGAAGATTGCCAACGACATTCGCTTCCTCGGCTCGGGTCCTCGCTGCGGCCTGGGTGAGCTCTCCCTGCCCGAGAACGAGCCCGGCAGCTCCATCATGCCCGGCAAGGTGAATCCCACGCAGTGCGAGTCCCTCACCATGCTGTCCGCCCAGGTGATGGGCAACCAGGTGGCCGTGACCATTGGCGGTGCCAACGGACACTTTGAGCTGAATGTCTTCAAGCCTCTGATCGTGTCCAATGTGCTGCGCTCCATTCGGCTGCTCTGTAAGTAGAAGGAGAGATGAACCAATCTTTAACTAATTCCCTGGCTTGTTGCAGCTGACGGCAGTCGCACCTTCACTGCCAATTGTGTGAACGGCATTCAGGCGAATCGCGAGAACATTGCCAAGATCATGAATGAGTCGCTGATGCTGGTGACGGCCCTCAATCCGCACATTGGCTACGACAAGGCAGCGAAGATTGCCAAGACGGCGCACAAGAACGGCACCACGCTCAAGGAGGAGGCCATCAATCTGGGCTACCTCACCGAGCAGCAGTTCAACGACTGGGTCAAGCCCGAGGAAATGCTGGGACCTAAGTAGACTGCCGTCTGTCTAGAACTTTAGTTCGTGAATGTTTTTGCCAGTCGCCCAATAAATCGGTTGTCGAATAGCCTTACAAAATTGTCCCAAAAACTCAGTTCAAAAATGTCGCTTGTTATGCGCTTATTGGTGGGCCACACACGAGGCCTCAGGCTGTCCGCGAGCCTCGCCGGCAAGGGCAAGTCCAAGGTGGGCAAGTTTCGCATGGAGAAGGACACGTTTGGTGAACTGAAGGTGCCCTCAAAAATGTTATTTGGCGCACAGACGATGCGCTCCAAGTTGAATTTTCCCATTGGTGACATTGGGGAGCGCATACCGGTAGCTATGACCCATTGACCCACCCCCGAAACCCCTCTAGAGCTCGATCCTCTCACACAGATGCCAGTGATCCAGGCCATGGGCATACTGAAGAAGGCCTGTGCCGAGGTGAACCGAGACTACGGACTGGAAGGTAAAATATCGGATGCCATTTCGTGTGCCTGCGACGATGTGATCTCGGGCAAGCTGTACAAGCGCGGGCACTTCCCGCTGGTCATTTGGCAGACGGGTTCCGGCACACAGACCAACATGAACACGAATGAGGTGATCAGCAATGCGGCCATCAAGGCAATGGGCGGCCAATTGGGCTCCAAGCAGCCCGTCCATCCCAATGATCATGTGAACAAGTCGCAGAGCTCCAACGACACCTTCCCCACTGCCATTCACATTAGCGTGGGAATGGAGCTGAACGAGCGGCTCATACCTTCGCTGACACATTTGCGGGATGCGCTCAAGTGCAAGTCGAAGGAGTTCAAGAACATTATCAAGATTGGGCGCACACATTTGATGGACGCGGTGCCATTGACGCTCGGGCAGGAGTTCAGCGGCTATGCCCAGCAGCTCACCTATGGCCTGGACAGAATCAACGGGTGTCTGCCGCGCGTCTATGAGTTGGCTTTGGGTGGCACAGCTGTCGGCACTGGCCTCAACACCCGCAAGGGATTCGCCGAGAAGGTGGCCAAGCGCATTGCCGACCTCACCTGCCTGCCCTTTGTGAAGGCTCCGAACTTCTTCGAGGCTCTCGGCGCTCGCGACGCCATGGTGGAGGTGCACGGTGTACTCAACACGATTGCCGTCAGCCTCATGAAGATTGCCAACGACATTCGCTTCCTCGGCTCGGGTCCACGCTGCGGATTGGGGGAACTTATGCTGCCGGAGAACGAGCCGGGCAGCTCGATTATGCCTGGGAAGGTGAATCCCACGCAGTGTGAGTCGCTGACCATGATCTGTGCCCAGGTGATGGGCAACCAGGTGGCCGTGAGCATTGGCGGTGCCAACGGACACTTTGAGCTGAATGTCTTCAAGCCTCTGATCGTCTCGAATGTCCTGCGCTCCATACGTTTGCTGGGTAGGTGTGGGCATACGGGGGGTGCTGGACGTACAACTAATTTGTGTTGCTTGCAGCCGATGGTAGCAAGAACTTCAGCAAGAACTGTGTGGAGGGCATCAAGCCGAATAATGAGCGCATTGCCAAGATCATGAACGAGTCCCTGATGCTAGTGACGGCACTTAATCCGCACATTGGCTACGACAAGGCGGCCGCAATAGCCAAGACGGCGCACAAGAATGGCACCACACTGAAGGAGGAGGCACTCAAGGCTGGAGTCACCGAGCAGCAGTTCAAGGAGTGGGTTGACCCCAAGAAGATGCTCGGCCCCAAATAGATTTGATTTCATTATTAGTTCATATTAAAAATAACCGTTAGCTCAAATAAAGCTTAATGGCAATCGATATTTGCTGTGTGTCATCGCTATGGCTAAATCATCGTCGCCTAGATAATGCAGCCCTGCAGCAGAACTGACAGCGACAGCTGTCTTTGTATTTGTAAGTTTTTCTTTGTCTTTATCGCAATATTCTTGCTACAAATCCGCCCGAAACGGAAAATATACAAACTAACAAGTGTCTTTGGGCATTGGCAGCAACATTTTTCCATCCAGTGCAACGAACCCGTGATTATCACCGACACTAGTGCTGTAAACACTCGATTATCTAACGACAGTATGTTTGGCTTTGACTTGTGTTTGTATTTGCTTTCGACCAGATTTCGATTCAACGTGTTGTGTTTCAACTAGACAGAACCTCGGACAACATAGCAATCATTTCAGGGCAGGCAAGGGCACTCGGAAATTTACAGTCTAAAAAGAAAATGCCATCAAGCACAACACAATAAGAAATATAAAAAAAGATAAGCTTCGCCCCCATAGTTTTTTTCGTTACTGCAATTTGGTTCATGGTTCATTTTACGACGCAAAAACATTGACACACACATACACACACTCACTCCAGACTGCAGCAGCTGTTTTGCAGACGAACGATATCGATTACACACGCGATTACCATCGTACAGTAAATACTGAAGGGCAGGTAGCCCCCGCAGTGGCGTTGAACGTTTATAGGAAAATAATATAAAAGGTGTGTTCGCAGGCAGCACAGTACTCAGTACTACTACGGCAGCCGCAGGGAAAAATGTCTGTGAGACTGTTGACCGTGCGACTGATCAAACATGGTCGCTACATTCTGCGCAGCTACTGTCACCGTGAGATACACGCCAACATTTTGGAGCCAAACCCTTTGAAAACACGCTGCAAGCGAGGCTTTCCCCTACCATCATCCACCGCCGCGGCAAATGCAACGCGGGTAAGTGCCAAGTCGCCAATCAGCTCCCCAAGTAGCACAAATCTCATGCCATCTCTGCCACAGCAGGTGGCCAGATCGGCACCATCGCCGGTCAGTGTCCTGCCCCGCAATGGCGTCCCATCCAGTGGCAGTGGCCTCTTCCGCATCGGCCAGCAGGCGCGCAAGCTCTTCATCGACAACATCTTGAGTCGCGTCACCACAAACTACTCGGAGGAGCTGCGCAAGCGGGCCACACGCAAACTCTTCTATGGGGACTCGGCGCCGTTCTTTGCTCTGATTGGTGTGAGCCTGGCCACCGGCTCGGGTGTGCTCAGCAAGGAGGATGAGCTCGAGGGCGTTTGCTGGGAGATACGCGAGGCTGCCAGCCGCCTGCAGAACGCCTGGAACAAGGACGAAATCTCCGAGACGCTCAACAGCAACTTCACCATTGACGACCTCGAGGTGGGTGCGCCAATAGCCAAAGGCTGTGCGGCAGTTGTCTACGCGGCCAACTTCAAGAAGAGCCACAATGAGGCCGCCTCAGAGCTCGGCCATGCCGAAGTGCCGCCCGTGCCTTCAGCTGTGCCCACAGCGGCCAGTGCATCGACTGTGTGGCGTCACGAGCTGATGACGCCGCTGCAGAATATGTCGCGATTTGTGCACAACTTTGGCGGCTCGGTGGACAACATCCTGAACTACAGTCAACCCTCGGCGGCCAGCGATTTTGTGGGCGCCATGAAGCGCGAACAGGAGCTGGAGACCGAGCGGGAGTCCGAGCCAGCTGGCTTATCCCCTGCAATGGTAAAGATCCATCTGTTTGTCTTGTCTGTTTTTATCTATAAATTGATTTGTTTTTTGCCATCACAGAGTCCACGGCTGGCTGGCAAATTGGAGAGCTCCTCCATTGACGCCTACCCGCTGGCCCTCAAGATGATGTTCAACTATGACATCCAGAGCAACGCCCTGTCCATACTCCGGGCCATGTACAAGGAGACGGTGCCGGCGCGCCAGCGACGCATGAACACAGCGGCCGAGGAGTGGGAGCGCCTGCTGCAGAACCAAACGCTGGTGCTGCCGCCGCATCCGAACATCGTCTGCATGTTTGGCTTCTTCTGCGACGAAGTGCGCAACTTTCCCGACGGCCATCTGCTCTACCCGATCGCCCAGCCGCAGCGCATTAATCCGCAGGGCTATGGCCGCAACATGTCGCTCTACCTGCTGATGAAGCGCTACGATCACAGTCTGCGCGGCCTGCTCGACACACAGGAGCTGAGCACACGCACGCGCATCCTGCTGCTGGCACAGATGCTCGAGGCTGTCACCCATCTCAGCCGCCACGGTGTGGCCCATCGTGACCTGAAGTCGGACAATGTGCTCATCGAGCTGCAGGACGACAAGTCGCCGGTGCTGGTGCTGTCCGACTTTGGCTGCTGCTTGGCGGACAAGGTGCATGGCCTGCGGCTGCCCTACGTCTCGCACGATGTCGACAAGGGCGGCAATGCGGCACTGATGGCGCCCGAGATATTCAACACGATGCCGGGTCCATTTGCGGTGCTCAACTACGGCAAGGCCGATCTGTGGGCCTGCGGTGCGCTGGCCTACGAGATCTTCGGCATGCGCAATCCCTTCTACTCGTGCAGCGGCGGCCTGGCGCACGAGCGCGGCGAGCTCACTTATTCGCTGCGGAACAGCGACTACAAGCAGGAGCAGCTGCCGCCCATGAGCGATGCCTGCCCGCCGCTGCTGCAGCACCTCGTCTACAACATCCTCAATCCCAGCCCGTCCAAGCGGGTCAGTCCGGACATTGCGGCCAATGTGGTGCAGCTGTTCCTCTGGGCGCCATCCAACTGGCTCAAGGCTGGCGGCATGCCCAACAGCTCCGAGGTGAGTCCGCTGTCAGAAGTCTTTATCCAACTCTCACTCTTTCTCCCTTTGTTCTCTGGCAGATTCTGCAGTGGCTGCTCTCGCTTACCACCAAGATAATGTGCGAGGGACGCCCGCAGCTGCACCCGAGCGCCGGCGCTGCCACAGGACAGCGAGCGTATGTGGAATATTTGCTGATTTGCAGCTTCTTGGCGCGCGCACGGCTGCGTCGCATTCGCGGCGCCCTCAACTGGATTCAGAATGTGGTGGCCCCATAGGCCAGGGGTTGAGCCCGCCCCCTGCAGATGCTTCGTTTTACTTGTTACTCTGATAAAATCAAATGGAAAACCGTGTGATACCTATATTTTACATATGTATTTATAAACAATTCGAAATTAGCCGCACGAGCTGAGTTTTCACTCGATTTTAGTCCATGCCCAGGCTGCTGATCAATCCAATGAGGTCCTGGCTCTGCTCCAGGAAGAGCTTTATTTGGGCAAAGTTCTGGCGAGGCGGACTCATGTCGATGAGGCGTATGTATCCGCCATTGCACTGCACTGTCAACGATTGATTGTCACCAAAGTCGAACATGTAGAGGGTCTGTGAGTCCTCGTCGAGGATGGGCTTTAGGCTGCAGCCAAGATGATGAAGATTCTCCACGATGCACGCGAAGGCGTCCTCCACGTTTTTATCATTACCTGAGGAGGCAGGCACGCAGTTCTAGCTATATTTTATATGTTTACTCACAATCAACACTCACCCGATGATTTGATGCGCAACTGAAGCGCTTGCTCTTCCAGCTGCGCTTTATGATGCTCCTTGATCAGCCTCAATATTTGTTCGTTGAGGGCGTTGGCGGACTCCGGCCAGGACTTGATCTGCTCAATGTTCTCAATGGTATCGTCCACGAATTTTGCAATGTGCTGGTGGGCCGTTTGGATGGTGTTTAGCTCTTGTTTCAGCGATTTGGTGTTATTTTCTTTCATTTTGAATTGGATTGGCAATTGTGGTGGTCAAAAAAAAGATCTTTCATCACTGTTATTCGAATCAACCCTGTTTATCGATACAAAATGCGCAACTCAGGTTCGCTAGAGATGAAACAAATAACGAATATATCGAAATATGAAACACAATTTACATTTATTTGTTGTTTAATCCGACTTAACACAGCCAAGATGAACGCTGCTCACGCACATTTTGTGATCATAGAAGGAACAGGTAGCCATGTGTGTTAGTCCATCATCCTCGCTTAAATTTGGATGCCAGTCGGCGCCATAACAAATGCTAGAATGTTCCTCGTAGGTGCCCAGCAGCGTTAATGCCGAATCCTTGAGGTCGAGTTGAACGACGCTAAAGTTGGTGTACATGCAGGCGGCCAGGATGACGTCCAGTCGCTTGGGATGCGGCTTGAGGCGCCAGATGCCGCCACCCAGATTCACTTCGGCCAGCGTGCGCTTCATGGCGCGCGTGTCGAAGAGACGCAGCTGCTCGTCATAGCTGCCCGTGAGCAGGTGGTGCTCGTGCTGCGGATGGCTGAGCAGACAGGTAACGCCCGCCTGGTGCGCCCTGTTCGTCCACACACGCTGCTCCGTGCGCAAATCTCGGGCGAGGAGAAGGCAATCGTCGCCACCGCTGTACACGAGCTGCGGCGTCCAGCGGTCAAAGGCACACGTCCAGGCCTCAAATTCATGCGCATTCCATGTGTCCACAACGGACAGCTCTCCCTGCTCGGTGTAGCGCAAATGGCTAATATTTCCTTTCGAATCGGAGACTACCAGCTGCACGGCATCTCCATCGCGTTGCCAGTCCAGGGCCAGGGCCAGTGGAGCCTCAGCCAGAGCCAGGCACGTGCGCTTTTGCAGCTGTTTTTCATCCGCCAGCAGCTCGTAGATTTCCACCTCGCCCAAGGCGTTAGCTGTGGCCAGCAGTGGGCCACTGTCGCTGCTCCATGCTGGCAGCCACTTCATGTCCAGTATGGCCGCCGTCTCAATGCACTGCAGCCGCTCCAGTTCTCCGCTGCCCGTCTCAAAGTGGTACAGGTAAACGCGTCCCTTGCGTGGTCGCTTCTTGGTGGTCTCATCGTCCTCTCCCTCCCCCTCCTCCAATTGAACCAGCTGGTAGGTTCCGCAGGCAAAGTACTCGGCATGCTGATCATCCTGGGCACACCACTCTACCGAATCGGCCGAGTATTCTGTATCCACGCTGTGCAATGTTTTGAACATGGCAAACATGTATTAGTGCTGGCAAACAGTTTGAATCGATTTCGATAGATTCTATCGATAGACTCCCCAACCCCCGATGCATTTCAAAAATAATGCATTTTCTTATTAAATTTATTTGTATGTTTTGCTAAGTTAAAAAATTAATAATTAATACATACAAACTACTTAGTGATCTGGTTACGCGCTACATAATCTGGATTATGATTAGTTGATCTCTCTTCACATTTAGCTGTGCACCGTTCTCGGTGCAGGCAGTTCTTGTGCGGATTGCCACTGCTTCACAGTTACCATGTGCTTGAGAGAGAGTGAGGGTTAGGGGGAGGGGGATGGGGGGGTGTTGGGTTGGGTGGGTGAATGGTTATTTGTTGTGCATGCTTCAACTATAACCAAGTGGCTCCTCTGCATCCTCTTCTCAGTCCCTTCCACTTTTTACACACGGACAAACACACAAAATTGCACAATGACAAAAAACACATACAATAAAAAAAAAAACACTCTTATTGCTAGCTATAGACACTCCGTTTCCTCCACGAACTTCTCCAATGGATCCGCACCTCATTCACCCTCCTCGAACGCCACTGCAGCTGGATCGTTTGCTTTTCTAGCGATTCATGGCGCGACTGTGGCGCCTTCTCGACTCTCATTTGGTCTTCATTACGATGATCGGCTCGAGGATCTTCAGCATGTCGTTGTTCTCGGGTGCCCCGGTGCCGTTGCCACCACCGCCACCGGCACTGGATCCCCCACCGGAGCCAGAGCCTCCTCCTGTCACTCCTGCACCACCGCTGGTAGCGGCATAGTCCTTGACAGTCTGCAGCTTGCTGTAGCCCTGCTGGTGCTGGCCGAGTGTCACCAGGCGGTGCTGCTGGTTAAGCACGATGGCCTCATGGTGCGGATGCTGCTGTAGGTTGCCGGCAATCTGCTGGATCTCGTGCTGCTGCAGCTGAAGCGTCGCCAGCTCATCGTTGGAGTTATCTCCGTCCAGCTGGGAGTCCGACTTGACCACCGTCACGAAACTGTCGCCCGAGCCAACGCCGACGCCGTCATCCGTCTCGTACAGCTGCTCGGAGGTGTCCTCCTCCGTTTTGGCCCGAAACTCGGCGCTGGCGGAGCTGCTGCGCGGCGTGTGGCTGCGCATGCGTCGCATCCGAGCGTACTCGGCCTGCTTGGAGAGCCGCTCCTTGCGCTCATCGTTGTTTTCCGTTGCCCGGATCTGGGCGCGCTTCAATCGTGCCCGCTCGCTGAGCTTCTGCAGGCGAACGGCCCGCTGCTCGGGCGTCTCATTCGCCCGCACCGCCCGCTGATGGGCGGCCATCTTGTCCAGACGCAGGCGCTTCTCATCCTCCGTCTCGTACTTGTTGGGACCGCTACGCCGAGGCGTGCCCGGCGATCTGTTGTCCCCGTCAGCCGTGGAATGTACATGTATGTGGCCCTGCGATCCACCAAGATCCTGCTGCGTCGGCTGCGAGAGGGGCCGGCCGCGCCTCGGGGCGCTGCTCAGCTGTGGGACGGCGAGCATCTGGTTTAGCTCATGCTCCAGCAGTGTGTTCACCTTCAGCTGCTCCTCGCCGCCCGCGTGGCTCACCATCACGTTCTTTCGCGGCCTTCCACGGCCAACCGTCGGAACGATCTGATCCTGCGCCTGCTGCTGGGCCTGCTGCTGCTGCTGCTGCTGCTGATGTCCCAGGCTGGTGACGGTCAGCGTGGGATTGGTGGAGGTCGCCGTCAGTATGTTGTACTGGCCCGTGGATGTGGGACTGCTGCCGCCGCTGGCGCTGGCAAAGTGGACCGGGGTGAAGGGCGGCGGCACGGCGCTCGGCCCGATGCCCAGCTGGAAGCCATTGTGGTACATGGGATAGTAGGCGGTTGTGGTGGTCGTCCCACCGGCTCCGCCCGCTGACACAGCCCCCACCCCGGCCGCGCTTGCATTCGACGTCGTCACGGTGGTGCTGGCTGTGTTCGTGTTGCTGTTGCTGGGGAAGGTGGCCAGGTAGGGGAACTGGTTGTACAATGGCGTTGCCTGTCCCGCCGCCGACTTGAGGACCTTCTGCTGATCGCCCCCGCCGGTGGTCATGATTACCTTGGCCTCGTTCTGTCCCAGACTAACAGACCCGCTGTTCTCGCTGGTCCCGCTCGCACCTGTAGAGGATACCGTTACCGTTCCAGCTGCTCCATTGTTGCCATTGGTCGACTGCAAATTGTAGCGGTGAATAGAGCCAAAGCGGGAGTGAGGGAGAGAAAGAGATAGAAAGTGAGGTTAGATCAGCTACTGCCTTGATCACTGCTTGCTAAACTTGAATGAAAGAATGAATTAGAGAGAGAGATAGCGAGAGAGATGGGAATTTGGTTATGAAGCTGTGCACACACACACACGAGACCGCCCGGCGAGCAGCAGCAACAACAACAACTTTTAAAAAAGCAACGAACCTGCACCTGTTTTCGTTTTAATAAATCGAATTAAAAGACACTTTTGTTTGTTTAGATTTGGTTCTTGTTGGTAAAAGTTTCTTGATTGATTGTTTCCATTTTCATTACATCTCTTCTTCTACATTATCTACACTCTAAATTGATAATTAATTAATTTTAGACTTGTTCCTACAACCCTCACCCCGGTTCCCACTCCCAAACGGTCAGAGTTTATGTTTGCATGTGTGCGTGTAAAAGCGAACAAAATTTGATCAGAACAAGTAACCAATAACAAAAATTACAAAACATTAAAAAAAAACAAGCGTGTAAAATTTGGCTGTGGTCGAAATGGGGTCGCCCATTTCCGTCAAGGAACAACAAGGAAAAGGGAAAACAACAAAAGAAGAGGCAGCTCTGAACGTCACCTGTCTGTCAGTCTGTCTGTCTGTGTATGTGTGTGTCTATGTGGAGACGGAGCTTTCGAACTCGAATTTAATTTCGATCTTTGACTTGTTGCTTGTGCGCTGCGCTGCGCTGCGCTGCATTGGCGTGTGTGTGTGGGGGCGGCTGCTGCTATCGATCTACCCGATCTCTGTCTCTGCCTCGTGTCTCTGCTATGGCTGCTGCATACGCACCTGAAGTTCCTGCTTCTTGGCGTACTTGTGCGGATACAGTTCCAGGGGGCCGGAAGCAATGCTGAAGTGCGGCACATGCGCCTGCAGCAGCTTGGGTCCCTTGCCCGGATCCTCGCCGTAGATCTGCTGCACAAATATGCTGCCCTGATCGCCGCCACTCTCCAGCAGTGTGGCCGTCACCTGCTGCTGCTGCTGGCCGGCAATGGCGTACCGCTGCTGAACCTGCTGCTGCTGCTGCTGAAGTTGTTGCTGCTGCGCCTGCTGCTGGAGCTGCTGCTGCTGCTGCTGTTGGGGCGTCTGCGGCTCCTGCTTCAGTTGCATGGGCGGACGGGCGAGGCCGTGGGTAATGAACATGCCCTGGCCGTTGAACGCCTCATAGGTGATGGACGAGATCTGCTGCAGATCCTCGCCGACAGCATGGGGTGTGCTGGCACTGCTTCCGGGTCCTCCTCCTGCGCCACTTCCCGGTGCTGGTGTGCTCGATGCCTGAGGTGCGGACACCGTCGTAACGTTTGCCTGGTTTAAATTAATATTATGTTCATTATTACAATTGGCTGCCGCCGCTGCGGCTGCGGCTGCTGCTGCTGCTGCAACAGCCAACACCTGCTGTTGCTGCTGTTGTTGTTGCTGCTGCTGCTGGGCGGTCGTCGTTGCCGTTGACGATGAGGAGGACGTCGTCGTAACCACCACCGACGACACGGCACCGTGCACATGCTTCAATATCTTTTTCTTTTCTCTGACCTTTTTGGCGTAGTCGTTCAGCTTTCTCAGTCTTTCCTTGCGCTCCTCCGGTGACTCGTTGGCGATCCGCTGGCGCGCCCTTGCCGCCATCTCGGCCAGCCGCAGCTTCCGCTGGTCGGACGATTCACTCGCCCGATACATGCGCATCCGCTCGGCCAGCTTGGACAGTCGCTTCGATCGTTGATCGGGCGATTCCATGGCCCGGCGCAGCCTCTGCCGCGCCGCATTCCTTACCAAACGCATCGCCCGCTCGATATCCGACTCGTTCTGGCGCCTCTGCCGGTTCGCCTCCGCATTGCGCAGCAGCCGCTTCCGGTACTCGTCTTCGCTCTCACGCTGGCGTCGCTCGCGCATCCTCTCAGCATTTCTGGCCAGGCGGCGCTGGCGGGCCTCGGGGCTCTCGTTCCAGCGCTGCTGATGCGTCGACGTCCCAGTGACTGAGGCAGAGCTGGCGCTCACGCTCGATGTGGGCCCCAACGGTGTTGGCGGCGGCTGCTGTTTCAATGAAAGTGGCTGCTGGTGTGTGTAGGCGGCGGGTAAACTGAGCTGCAGCTGCTGGTGCTGGAACTGCAGCTGATCCTGCTGCTGCTGTAGATGATGCTGCTGCTGCTGTTGTTGTTGGAACTGCTGCTGCTGCTGCTGATGATGGTGCTGCTGCTGCTGCACTTGCTGCTGCTGCTGAAGCTGTTGCTGATGATGGGTGGAGAGGGGTACCAACAGCGCTGAGGGATGCTCGATGAGTAGACGTGCATTGGGTCCATTGATAGCCAGCACATGGGTGGCGTACTGCTGCTGCTGCTGCTGCTGGGTATGCTGCTGCTGCTGCTGCTGCTGCTGCTGCTGCTGCTGTTGGTGATGGTCAAGTGTGGGCTCTATTTTTATCCCATTGGGATCTGGTTCCATTATTGGTCAAAGCCGGAACAACAATCGAAATTGTCGTCTCCCTGGTCAACAGTGCTTCTGATGGTGCGGAACCTGGCAAATGTATTTGGACTTGGACTTCGATTTTGATTTCGGTTTCTGTTTGATCTTCTCGCGACTGCTCCTGTGATGCCTCATCTAACGGCCGTAACTTGGGTGAGTGGCACTCTCTCTCTCTCTCTGTCTCGCTCACACACTCTGACTATCTATCTATATCTTTTGTGCTCTACTTCTTCCTCTGTGTTTGTTTTGTTTGCTGATTTCCGATTTTTGTCGTTATATAAAGAAATATGTGTGCGTCCGCTCTCTTTCTCTCTCGGTTTCCTACTCATCGCTCTGCCAGCCAGTTGTTGATTTCTCTTTCCGCTTATTCCACCTCTTTTGCGCATTTGTCTCGTTCGTCCGCTTGACAATCAATTCGCAATACCTTTCGAAGCAATGATCGTCCTCCTCCTTCTCTTTCTTCTTCTTCTTCCTCTTCCTCTTCACTTCCAATAAGATCTATCGTTGTAGCACATGCAAATATGACGAGAATACAAAATATATCATTCATGTGGGGGTATACAGTATTTTTTGGGGGGGTCGGCAGACGGGTTTGCGTCTGCGCTAACTTGATTGCGCACCTTTTGCACCGCAGCGTCGACTTCCGATTTTGCGTAATTGCCTAAGCGAGCGCGCCTTTTTGTGCGATAAATGGTTATATTTTCGCTCTTTTCGCTTTTTCTCTTTGCGCTTCTTTCTTTCCCAGTACTAGTTGGTGCGTGCCGCGGATGCTTCTTCTTCAGTTGTGAGTGACAATTGGCGCCGCCGCCGCTGACTGCCAGTGACTTCCAATCCAAGTGGAGGGGCTTCCAGTACTTCCAATCGATTTTTCACATGATTATGTGTATATGTACAGCCGCACACACACACACGCATGCACTCTCCCATGCACACATACACCATCAACTGGCGTCTGTACTTGTGTGTGCGTGTGTGTGTGTATTTTTTCCTGCCTATTTTGCATGTGTTTTTCGAACACAAAAATGTATTCTGCAAGTTTCCACTGATTTAGGTATTGCGTTCGCAAAAAAACAACAACTCAAGTGTTCCGTTCTGCTCTTCCCTAGCCGATAACTGATGATTCGGGCCCTGTCGGCATTTCAGCTATAAAAATGGCACATCTGCTAGGGCTTTCGGGCGCTCAGAACTCCCGATTGCTGCCTTTATTCAGGGACCTCCCTCGTTTTCACGATTCGTGTTGCCACGGATAACAATTTTCTCCACTTTTTTTTATATTTTTGTATCTTTTAAGAACAACACGACGAAAAACGCGCAAAATTTCCGGCTAAAACGCGTCGCTGCGTCAACACCAGTGTGACCGCGGAACTATCGATAAGATATACCGACATACCCTCGGAATTATACCGAAAAAGACCCTTTCATTGTCAAAATATATTGTAAATATACCGTAAATCTTAAATAATTTTACTCGACTTTGATCTTCTGTTTAATATTACCAGCTAGTTAGGACTCTCAGCTTAAAAACTGTACTTTTACTCGAATCATCATTTAATTCTCCACAAGATTGACTGTTTTTGATGTCTTGTGTTTATTGGATTGATTGCAAAATAAGGTTAAAACTAAAAAAGTTAAACACAAACATAGCATTAAAATATATGTGGGTGGGAATGGAATGTTACGTCATTTGACAATTTGTTGCTGGCCAACCGTATATGGTTGTGTGCATGTGTACCCTGTTTGCTATAATTAATATTTAAATTTCATTTTAAAAGCTGCTTTTAAACATTAACAATGACCTTGTCTTACGTTTTAAACTATGTTTTCTATGTCCTACACACCGATCTAGATACATTATCGGTATCAATAATCATAAAAATTTCGTTCAGATGGCTTATCAACACAGAATGATTTGTTTTTCCATTGATTGGAGGCAGATATTTCCAAAATTTCCTCAATTCGAGGATATCCATCCCTCCAAGGGTACTAAATGTTGCTTATTCGGTGACAAATGTTGAGAAACAGTGCTGCTGGCTCATACAAATAAAGTTTCCAACGGTAAAGTGCGTAAGGGGGAATGGAACGTCAACGTAAGTGAAAAACATGCGTATGGGAGCTTCGATACCCTAGAATATACTTAAACAAAATGGAATTTAAGGGACGGATGAAAATCATTAAATATACCATTTATACCGATATACCGTAAATGGTCAGACAAAACAACACATATTAAAAAATGACCGCAATTGGAAAGGGATGCGTGTGTTTGCATGGGTATGTACATGAAAGTCGAGATTCCGAGATCTGGCAATGCCATTGCATTCCAGTCAACAAATTCTAGTCAAAAATCGGAAGATGTCCGTGCATCGATAGATTGGCGCGCAATCGCTTACCGATTAACCAATGTGGCGCAATCATAAGATTCTTTTGTTTTTTAATTTTTAACTTCCTATTTCATTATAAACTAAATGATTGATAATTGCAAAACGCTACATTTAAAAATTGTGAATGCAATTTTATTCAAGAATATTCGTTTTGTTTTCTCGTATATCTTCTTTTTGTTGTTGTTTATTTTTTCTGTTTTGTTTTGCTTTGTGATTTTGTGTTTTGTTGTTCTCTTGAGTGTTTTTTGCCCATTGCAATGCTCAAAAAAAACGTATTTAATCCTAAGTTTACAATAAAACAATTGCTAAAAATATTAAGACACACAGAAAACAAGGAAAACCAATTTGAAATTTCGACTAGAACTTAATTGTTACCTTTATTAATAATAATATAATAATGTTAATATATCATTGTTTTTTTTTTTTTTTGTTTCTTGTTTGTAATTTCCTCTTCAGTTTAAAGGAAACTTACATTATTTTTTGTAATTGTTTTGAGTGAATTTGGGCTTTTTGGGGTGTGTGGAAGTGGGTGTGTGTGTTTGGGGATGTGGAAGGATTGCGTGCTATAACAAAAATTGCGTTATACATAATGCCTGGCAACGGATCATTTTTACATCTATGCGGGTGTGTGTGTGTGTGTGTATCCATCCATCCACATGTGTATGTATGCCCCAGTCAAGTGTGTATGCATATGCCGCCCTTATGTGCCCGTCAATGTCCGTTTTCGGTTACATGGTTACATGGTTACACACACACACACGTGCGCTACCACCACACCACACATGTGGGGGTTGGTTGGTTGGTTGTTCTCAAGCGCCAGGGTGACTCACGCCATGCCACGATGGGGACTCCACTGGAGGGTAATTCTTACACAGGTGAAAATCAATGGGCACGTTTGTGTATTGCTTTACCTTATTGCAGCTCGATCGGATCAGTCTGAATAACGAATAACATTGCTACCCCCTGATAACCCTCCCCACCCCACCCTTCTACCACTAATATGGCGGTGACACTTGTTGCCTCCTGCCCACCTGCCTCTTGAGTCCCGATTGCCATTCTCAAATGTTTTCTTTTTTTTTATGTACAGTTGCAGTGAGACGCCCTAATGCTTATGTTGTCATTGTAGGGTTGAAGCTCCTGGCTTTCTCGTGCGTGCATTCGTGTGTGTGTGTGTGTGAGCTTACACATGTGAGCTTTTGAGTGATGTGAACATACAGTTATGTATGTATGCATGGGTATGTGCGTGTGTGTATGCATAGCCTATGTATGCATTTATATATATATGTGTATGTATTTATATACCGTACGAATATAATGCATGCACTATAAAAATACTTTACTTTACTTTTTTGTTTACTTTACTTCATCATCATGTTAAATGTTAACTTAAAAAAAAAATTGCCGGCCCCTAATATCTATGTATGTAAATGTGCCACCTTCGTATTCCGTTGCTCCTCCTTCACCTTCTCCTTCGACTTGACTCGTGTTTTCTCACTTTTCTCAACTGCTTTCTGGTCTCTGCCTTGTTTTTGCCCTCGCTCTACATACATATGTATACAATATATATATATATATATATTTATAATTTATAGATGTCTAAAACGACGCCGTTGATCCTCGCTCTCTACAGCACTGTCTACACTCAATCGCTCTCTCCTGCATCTCTTCATCTCTTCTTCCCACTGCTTATCTTTCTCTCTGTGTTTTTGTTTATGTCTGGAGCCAGCTCCAAAGGTTTGCCGTGCACTGCTTGCACCGCTTTTACACTGCTTGCTTTTTACACTGCTCTTGCTGCACTGCCTTTCCCAGCTGATCCTCTCCAGACCTTTCTGTCTGCTGTCTGCACACGTATGTATGTGTATGTGTTTCTGTGTGTGTGTGTCTGTGTGTTTTGTGGTGTTAGTAGCCCTTTAGCCGATCCGCTAGCGGCGGCTTTATGACCTTGGGCGCACTGGCCCTCGCCACCCGCATCCGCTCCGCCGCCTTGGCCAGCCGCTTTTTCCGCTCGTCCGACGTCTCGCTGGCCCGTCGCAGACGCTGCCTGGCGGCGTTCTTCATCAGTCTTAGGGTTCTTTGTACTTCGTTTTCGTTCTGGCGACGGACGCGATTCGCCTCGGCATTCTTGGCCAACCGGAGGCGGTACTCCGCCTCCGACTCCTTGGATCGCTTGTCCCGCATCCGAGCCGCGTTCCGCTCCAGACGCCGCTCACGGGCCTCAATCGATTCGTTGCTGCGCCGACGGGCCGCCTTTTGGGCGCGCGACGATTGCGACTGGTGGCCACCGCCAACGCCGAGACCGATTCCAAGGATCCCACCAGCACCACCACCGCCACCACCTGGGCCGCCGACAACGACAACTCCCGTGGATAGATGATGGTGCAGGGGATGCGCCGCTTGCTGATGCTGCCCGCCAACGTTCTGTTCGGACTGCGAGTGCTGCTGCTGCTGCTGCTGTTGCTGCTGCTGCTGTTGCTGGTGGGGATTGCCCGCCTGCTGCTGCTGCTGGAAGGTGTTCTCCAAATTCAGGACAGCCGCAACGTTGGCAACGCTGTTGGCCGCCGAAACTGAACCGGATCCCGCTCCTGCTCCCGGGGTTGTGCCTGCACCGCTCCCACTGCTCCCGCCGGCTGTGGCAGCGACGGACACGGAAACGGAGGTGGTGGCAGAGGCTGCGGCTGCTGCGGCAGCTGCGGTTGTGCTGTAATTGTTGTACTCTATAAGGCCCCGGTTCGAGGGGTAGAGATGGTGCATGGGACTCTCATAGCTGAGGTACTCCGGCTTGATGAAGAAGGGATCACGAGCGGTGAGCGGGGCCGTCGGCGAGCTGAGGAAGTACAAACGGCTATGGTGGTCTGTGGTTATGCTCCCTCCGCCTCCCACACCCGCGGACATCGAGGGATTGTGCGCTGGGCCGCGACTCTTCCGTTGCGTCGTTGGGGATTCGTTCTGTTCGGTTCGATGTGATGAGGATTCCCTGGATTGGATAGCGATGACAACGATGGCGCTCTTCTCTCTGCTCTCTGTTCCCCGGTCACGCTCCCGGCTATCAGCACCCAGCTGCCAGCTGCTGAGATTTATTTAGTTTCTTCGGTTTTTTTTTTAAATTTTCTTTTGCGATTTTGTTATGCCGATTCGTTGGCCGCGTTTTGGGAAAGCACAATTAACTGGCTAAAAAAATGTGGCGAGTAAACAACAAAAGCGACATAACTAATCAATATGGAAAAAAACTTCCAAATTCTGGTTGGAAGCGCACCTTCCACGACACTTTCGGCTCTGGCCTGCGCGCTGTACACACACACACACACATTAACACTTGAACACACAAACACCACCACGCATGCACCGTATTCGTGTGGAAGTTTTGTTGGCGCTCGCTTCCAGTGGAGCCAGGGTGGAGAGCTTTCCACTGGCCAAAATATCGTTACAGCTGTCCCCAAAAGCTGAACAGGGCTGCAATACGTTGTGTGGCAACGCTGGCACTGGGCGCGCACCAATCGCTCGTTTCTATTGAATTTAAAAATCCTGTTATTGTTATTACGTTACCAAGTGGCAGAAAGCAATGCAAAGAAAATATGGTTTATTTTCATGCAAATTATGATTGAATCATTGTTACCATATCATTATCATTTAATTAAATTCGTATTCACTCAAGCAGGTTCCGCAAAACCAGAAAAAACATAAATTTTTGTTAATTTATACATATTTACGATGGAAAAATTAAATTTTTTTTCGTATTGCTTTAAATTTTTGCCGCCAAGTAACAGACGATCAAATGACGCAACATCTCATCCCACTTACATTACATTACATTACGCTTTTACACATTATGTATTTGATATGTAGCAAGTGTGTAGTTATACATCTGTGGTATTTTCGTCTTTGTACCTGAAACGCAAAAATGAGTCCAGTGACTACCCTACCTTGCTGAGAAGCATTTTATGGAATTCGTTTTTTGGAGCTTTTTTTTTATATTTATTAGGAACAGTTTTTTAATTAAAAATCCATCTCAACGATGTTTGCTATTTAAAGTTTCCTTGCAGATAGAAAACAGAATCGGGATTGAGATACACTTTAAAATTTTTAAACTTTTATTTTTAAATTTGAAATTTAACCTTCAGTCATAATCTGACATTATATTGAAAAGGCGCATCGGGGACTACAAGTTTTAATTTATCTCGAATTTAATTGAAAATTGAAAAACGCTTAATCAAGTGGGAAAATAGCCAAATTGGCAATTCTGCTTACGGTATACCTCATAAATCCGCGGTCACACTGCCAGGTCTTGCTCGTATTTGAAGCGCAAAGAGGAGAGGTAAACAGAGAAATTGCTGACCTAATCCTCTCTTTGAAGGCAAGTCAAGCAGGTAAAAAGGAGGAGCTTCTTTTAAGGACCCCACCTGGAGAAAGCTTTCTCTCAAAATGCATTCATGGAGGATTAAAATCGGCGGGTGTAGTTCACCTTGCAGCCCTGGAATTTCTTGTGACGTTTTACGTGTGGTTGACACCTTACATTTTGCCACAAAGTTCGCAGATTGGAAAGCTCTCGGGTGATTTTCAAAGCTCGCTAGTATAAATTTTTTGACGTTGAACGAACTGTGTCGGTGTTGGTGTGTGGTCGAGAGAGAAAAAAGGTCGTGCGCTTAATTTAATAGTTAATACAACAGCTAGGCGCTGCGCGTTTGTTTACGGCTGTCTGTTCTCCATATCGTGCGTGCGACTCTGCGTGAGCGGCATCAGCATTTGTGTGCATTATCTCTGCAACAGCGCTCTGTTTCTGCATTATCTGCAGACCGTTTGAGTGAAACCGAAAGTAGAATATTGAGATATACCAAGAATTAAGAGGTAAATTTGCCAAGCCGCTTGGATTCACTGTTTTTTTTTGTCGTGTTATACTGTTTTTTCCCAAAAATAAATTGTGCAATACGCACACACACTCAGAAAGGGGGGAGAGTGGCTTGTTGAAGGTGTCACTCAAAAGGAGAGAAGTGGAGCAAAGTAAAGAAAAGCCGGAGCGCGGAGTGGAGTAGCTTAACAAAAAAAGTCGGAAAACAAACACGAGTTGGAATCTCACACAAACACACATGTGTATGTGTATATAAGAATAAATATGCATACATACTGTTGTGGCATGTAAATAAGAACGACCTACCTAGGCCTCCAATTCACGCTGCAAGTGTATGGAAATGTACATAGTTTTTTTTCGTTATTGTTCATCAAAGAAAATGTTCCAATTTGAATAGTTCGGACAGAGATTAATGGTTTTCTGGTTCCGCGAGTGCAACGCAACGGTAAAAAAGAACATTATAAATACATACATGACATGTACATGTACATAGCGTGTTCGATTGCGAGTGTGTGGGTGAGTGTGTGTGCATACCTGCGTGTGTACATTCCGCTATGTACATTTTTTCATACTTATTAGTCATTTTCGGACCTCTCCTCCCCTCCCACCATCTTGATATTTTTTTGTATGTGTTCCCCAAAACAATGCGAAAATCAAGTGCTAAAAAGGCGGCTGCTGCCAAAAAGGAAAATAAGAGAATTCAACAAGAAGAAAACTTGCAAGTGTGTGTCGCTTGTGTGTGTAGACAAGAGATTTTCACTGAGAGAGAGCCGTACGTAAATTACGGTATATGTGTGTGTGTGTGTGTGTGTGCCAGCGGCAGGCAGGACACCCAAAAAGCAAAAGCAACAAAAAATGTTCATGCTTTGGAGTGTGTGAGAGAGCGCGGGGCAGTAGATTCGGGAAAAGCATATAACGGTTCCTTTTTTTGTATTTCTGCTGCTGCCGCCAACGCCAGCGCTGCGCAGTCGCTGCCAGCGTCGCACCGTGTTCCTCGGAGAGTTTTTGAAAATTGTTTTTGTCACATTTATGCTCTCCCTCTCTTTATCTCTCTCTGTATCTTTGTCCTTCGGAGGCGGAGGCTGCTTGACGACTCCGTGCCAAAACTCCAGGGGTATCTCCCCTCAAGGTTTCCCACGAGATTCATTCCAAGGTCCACACAAACACACACACCAATACATACATGCATCGCACTCTCATTCGGAAATAGCATTGCAGGCGTTGCTCTATTCGAATTTTAATTCTTCAAATCAAATATCCAAACATAACGGGACAGTCATTGTCTGTCAGCTGAACCGGCTCCCACACACGCCCCCCACACTCACACCTATCCGTGGAAGCGTCAGTGAACCATCCATCCAAATGGAATTGCAGTAATTGCAGCCCATTCATTAATAATTGTGATACCGATTAAGCATTTGCATGCATTCCAAATTCCCACCTCCACCTCCACCTGCGCCTGCAGCACCCCCTTCGAACCTTCTAATTGGATGCACTGCTGCCATGCATATTTTAAATGATAATGTCCAGTGCAAGTGTGAGTGAGAGTACGACTGTATTTAGAGAACTTTGCGCTCTGTGACTCCCTCTCTTCTTCTCATTTCCATTCCACTCAATAAGATCAGCATCACACAAATCTCTCAATTAAATTAACCGTACTCATATGTTCGTGTGTGTGTGTGTAATTGAGTGATAATCTGCACAAGGTAGGCATGCAGTTTAACAGTTGAATGCATTCGAACTGTGTCTCTAATTGAGTGTATCGGAGTTGTTGGGGTGGCAAGGGGGTAAGTGACAGGCATTAACAGGTGGAGCATGTGTGCATATTTTGTTCAATTAGCCATTTGCGTTCATTTGAGAATTACAGGTAGCACCAACCGCAAAGAAGCTGCGTCGAGTCGAATGAGTCAAAAAGAGGGGTGCGGAGGAGGGAAATTTTAACAGAGAGAACGCGTGCAAGGCAAAGAGAAAAAATCAAATTATTCGCAACACAGCAATGAGCACTAAAAGTAAGGAAAATGTTAAACAAAATAATTGGCGGAATGGAATCAAGCACAACACACATACGCAGCCGTAAAAGAGATTTACACAAATTGCGCTAATAATAGAGCCAAAGCAACAACAAATGTACAGAGACCAAAAAAAAAAATAAAAAATAAACAAAATAAAGGCAGAATTTTTTTTTTTTACCAGTAAGACTCGAATCTCATCCCACTCGCTCCCACACACACACAAAAAGCTTAAGAAATACCTAAATTTGTGTTGGCTGCAATTGTTGCCCCTGGTCTATGTACAGTTATAAACATATGCATACATACATATGTATGTAGATATATATGAAGTAAATACATCTGTACGTACATAGGTTTCTGTGTGTGTATGTAAAAACAGTTTCGGGTCAATTGACTTTTAGTGTAGTGCACGCACACACACAGACACACACCCACAGAGAGCGAGATATGTATGTATGCGCAGGCCAAAAGGAAAAAGCTCGCAAAAAGAAGCAGCAGCGTACGCGCATAGAAACACCGCACGCAACAAATCGCCTGAGCCCCCACCCACCCGAATACCCAACCATCGCCCGTAAAGCCTAAGCTCAACAACACACACAGACACACATGTACGAATGTATGCACGAATGTGTATGTATGTATGTTGCGTACATAACGCACACACAGGAAAAGGAGAAAGCATGCTCTTGGCTCCCACTGCTGCTGATGTTGCTGTTGCTGTTGCTCTGCCTCAGCCTTTGCTTCCTTTCAAAACCCATGCCTCTCCCACTCTGGCTTGCCGCCTCGTCACCGCACCGTGGTTCCAATAAGCTCAAAACAATCTCGAGCCTTGATTCTCTACACGCTCTCTCGCTCTCTCTCTCTCTCTCTCTCTCTCTCTCTCTCTCTCTCTCTCTCTCTCCCTGTCGTGCTGTCTCTCCATTTGCAATTAGCGAGAGAAGTTTTTTGGGAAAAGTTGTACCTCCCCTCAAAGTCCCTACGCCACTGCCTCGTTCAATATGAGAAGGGAATAACTGTGAAATTTGTAAATATTCAACGGGAACGGAGCGGCCCATGCCTGCAACTTGCTCATTAGGGAAAGCTCTCCCCCGTTTGGGTTTTCAGCGAGCAAAGCTCACTGTGAGTTTAATTTGTATTAACTCAAAATGCGGCCGGCCGCCACCTGATTCCGTTCCCGTTTGTCAATGACATCAGCATCTTTTTGTGCCTGCCTCCCCCACACTGTGTGCGAATGTGGTGCGGCGGCATGGGTATGTGATGTGGTTGTGACATGACTGTGATGTGCCCCTGTCCTTCCTATTGTAGCTTACGTATTCCTTTTCCTTCTCCTTCTCCTGGTGTTGCTACTGCTGCTGCTGCTGCTGCTGCTGCTGCTGCAGTTGACGTTTTCGTCCAGAGATAAAACGTGGGTGATGGCGATGATGATGATGGAGAAAAAGGAAGAGGAGTAAAAGTAGGAGCAAAAAAGTAAAACAAAAATAAACTTACATAAAAGGAAATAAAACGCGCTCGACTGCTTGTTCTGACTGTGTTTTTGGGTGCCTGTTTCTGGCATTGACAGTCAAGCCAAACACCCGTCCCCTCCTGCCACACCGTACTCAGCATAGGGCTATCTGTGTGTGCGTATTAGGTTTTTCAAAAGGATTCTAAACTCGTACACTCGTGTGCAAATATTCCTGTAATAGATCTTAGATATTTGTTTTTGTTAATAATATTTACCAACATGCAGAGAGAGAGAGAGATAATGGAGATTGCTGCGACTTTTACGATTGGATCTATTTTCCACTTGTGGCACACCACAACATTCAGATATTGAGAACGAGAGCTGGGTATCCCCATAGTCTGAATATCGACTATGGCACACTTCCTTCCTGTATTTCCCCTTCTTTCCTTTCATTCTGATGGAGGTACGTTGTTTCTGTTGCTGTTGCTGTTGCTCTTGTGTCAGCAACAGGACACACGACGTGCGAGACGAGGCAAGGCACACGCAAACTACTGAAACGTCGACAACATCGACAGTGTTGTCTTGTCGTCGTAATGACCGAATAACGGGTCCTGATGCCTGTTCTGTTCTGTGCGTAGGGGTCGCTGCTTGTGTGTGTGCGCCTTGTGCGTGTTCCCTCGTCAGCGGTCAGGGTTGACTCGAATCAGACCGAGAAGATACAGGGGAACCAGGATTGAACAAGACCGGGTAAATCCGCCTTCAGAGCTCCCAGCTTCATGCGAACCCAGCAACACAAAGTTAAGTGCGCCACTGAGGGGACCCTTGGTGCCTGGGTGGCCTGGTGCCTGGAGCCTGGAGCCGTTGTCATTGCCGTAGCCATAGCCGGAGCCCGAGCCCGAGCCAGAAAATCTTACTTGGTTTTTGGTCTTATTGGAGTTTTCGCTCGAGAAGCGTTGAATGTGGTTGTGTGTGTTTGTGTGTGTGCCCTGGAATCGATAAAGCATACTTATTTGGATTTTTGATGCAACATGCTTTAAAATATGTGTGTACACACACACACACACACACACACACACACACACAGGAGAGGTGAGATGGATACGATGGAGAAGCGTATCCCTAGCGCTTTGTGTGTCATATTTTAGCGTTACATGCTCAGCCGCACATAACCTCAACCGCGTTATGGCCTGCGCCTGCACGAAAAGCTCCATTCCCCCCTCGCACGCTCACTGTTCGTTCTTCTTCACTGATACCTCTTCCACATCCTTGTCTCCCTCTCTCCCTCTCTCTCTCTCTCTCTCTCTCTCTCTGTGTATGTTCGAGTTAGACCAAACTCGAGATTAGCTTCCGGAGGGGATATAAATCATCTCTCGGTTCGTTGCTCAAGTTATAAATATTAAATATTCAAAAGCGACTTTTCCCTCAATCCCCATCCAGGCTTCTGGCCTTCCCTGTACAAACACATACATACATATATCCCTTGTATTCCACCTTTCCTACTCTTCTGTTTCTTTTCTGTTGGTTGATGGTGCGCGCTTGCTTT